CCACTTGTAAAGCTGCTTGTATTTCTTAGGATAAGAAATACATATCATAACTAAATGCTTTTTAAAAGAAAGCATACTCAGAGAAGGGGAAAGAAATTAAGTAGCAAGGTAGACAAATAAGGCAAAAGCGGGGATATTGATGACATTTTGGTAAAGCATTAGCAAATATTTTAAAGTACACCGATGTTTAAATGGCCTGGTTTACAAATAAGCGGTGAATTCCTGAGCTAAAACTTTAAATGTCGGAGCACTTAGGTGGGCTGTTTAATCCATGCTTGGGCACTCAGCTTTTGATCTCAAATTCACACCTCTCATTTGCATCCCTGTTGCTGTTGGAGCACAGAAACCTCATCTTCAGGAAAGGTGTGAGAATATGCCAAATTAATGTGCTCAGTAGTATCTTGGCAAATGACCACAATTATGGTTTTTACACCTACTTAAAAACAAAAACGAACAAAAAACCCCACCAAACAAACCACACACCAAAAAAAAAAAACAAAAAAAAAAAAAAAAACCAAACACAAGAATCTCTCAGAATTAATTATAAAAACCTCTTTAAGAAAGTAAAGAAACCCTAAGAACAGGAAACATTATCAACAATAAGATCCTCCTATGTTTTAAAAGGATCCTTCAACAGTGCTGTCTTTAACAGCTGGAACTTTTTATACCTTAGCCCTCCCCCAGTTTCCTAGCATGGAATCAAAGCCACTTTTTATTATTGTTAGATGAACCACTGGAGCATTCGGGGAAGGAGGGGAGGAAGAAATTACAAAAAATAAAAATCAGAGTGAGTGATCAGGAAGGAGAAGTTGCTTTCATTTTTAAGGGATCTTTCTTTATTAACATGAGTTAAACCTAAGGCAGATCTTCCATGCAGCTGCCCTGAAAACCTGGACATGGTTATGCACGAAGGGGCTGTCAGCCTTGGCTGTTATAATCGCACTGAAATCATTCTGTTTTTTAGATGAAATTGATTTAAAACTACTTGGGCATCCTCACACTTCCAATTAGTACCATCGGTTTTGCCTCTGGTGTCCTTCAAATATTCATGGTTGCCTGGTTGTTCTGCCATCTCCTCATTCTCCCTCCTCCCTCACTGTCATAGCCTACTACTACTACTGTTTTTAATGCTGAGCCTTGTGTTTATAGTGCCAGCAGTGTAAGACATTCACATGGAAATGCTGAGGATTTTTTTTGCCAGACTCCTATGAATAATCATAGGGCTGCAGCATAGTAAACTTTCTCTCTTTTAGATTTGCCTGTTAGATGTGATGGGAAGATGGATTAAAATTCATTGGGACACAGACAAAGAAAAACTTTGGATCTACCCTAGAAAAGCATCTCTTGCATCCCCCAGAGGGGAACTGCTTCTCTTTGTTTTGCTCTCTCTTAAAGCAGAGATCCCTTTCTTCACAGCAACTTGAATTTATGTTTCGGGGCAAAACCCAGCAACATTAAGGCAGATAGAACAGCTGCAATTTTACAATTTTATTTTCATCTTCTGGAAATAAGCACAGCAATGGTCGTGGGGTTTTTTTGTTTGTTTGGTTGAGGGTTTTTTTTGTCTCTTCTATTTGACCGATTCTTACTGTCTGCTGTGTGTTCCCCAGGCTGCCTGAATCCCCCTCGGTCTTTTTTCTACCTTTTGAAGGAAATTGAGAGAGTAAAGTGGAAGAAGAAAGTTCGTCCAGGTTGAAAAATGTGGCAGTATTTTTGGACAAGGAAAGGGAAGGAAGTGATTTCATCCTTTAGCCAAGGGAAGCGGTAGTTGTAATGGCATGAACAGTGCTATGCAGACCAGGGGATTATTTTAGTGCCCACGTGAATGCTGAATTAAAGGAGTGTGAGATAGACGTTTCAGGAATGAAGCATAGTGTTGACTTTAAAATTTCTGAAGATTTAGCTGAAGATGTTCAAACACAATCACTTGCTCTCTAGGGCAAGTGCCAAAGCACCTGCACTTGGTTTGCGCAGAATAATGCAATTCCTAAAGAAATCCAATTACTGAGATAATTACCACCTTGGGTGAGTGGTAACAACCAAATTTAAACCAAGAGGCCTCTGGAGGAAAGCCCAAATCACCCACTAGTCTCAGAAGTTCACTTTGAGAGGTCGTAGTTGACAGTGGAAAGCCCAGGAGTAAAGGCGTTGCTGGTTTGATTGTTAGGTGCAGTGTACTCTAGTTTGATGCTATGCAAATTCCCATTGCCTTCAAAAAGGTACAAACGTAGCTTTGGTTACTAATAATTGTGGAAGATTTTTAAAGTAAAAAATGGATTGTCTGACTGAATTTATTAAGCTAAACTGAATTTCAGGACAGAAGTTTGCTTTACAAACTGTCTATATTACCCTTGGTCTTAAAAAAAAATAAATCAATGATGCTTCAGAATATCTGTATGAAGATTTTTCTGGTAGTGTCTGAAAAGGTAAATCCTTTCTTGTCTCATGTCCTGAGGCCCATGTTTTAGCTGATTAAGCAATTGTTACTGTGCTAGGAATGGAGGATAAAGCTGATGAAATCTGGTTTTGTTTTGTTTGGGAGAGCTGTTCTGTTTCCTTCCCTTCTTCCCAGTTATGCTGCATTATCTGTCTCAGAGTGTCCTGAAGCGCTTGTGATTTTCCCTGATTGTTTTATGCATCTTTCTCTCAAAGGGAAAGAAAAGAAAAAAAAAAAGGGAAAGAAGTGGAGCCAGAGCTGCATGCTGGGCAAAAGGATTCCTCCTTATTATAGATAAGAATTTTTTAAGTATTGCTTGATTTGTATGGGTCTCAATATGCCTCAAGAACAGAAATGCTTTAGAGGTTGGTAAAAAATTGGAGTAAAGAATAGTATTGACTTGTACCTCATACTGCCACACTGATTTCAGAGGGACTGAAAGTTAATAAGAAGTCTGATAATCTTAAAACACATGCATTTGCAAATCAGCTGCATTTCTCTGCTGACAATAGAAAATTGATTGAATTCCATCACCTAATCTTTATGCTTACTCTTGCACATGTTGCAATTGCAGGTGGATGTATATTAGGGTAGAAGAATTCTGACAACCTTTTTGAAGCAAAATCATTCTTTATATTCTGAACTGCTTCGAAGGCCCTCCCCCACCCCGTTGCCTTTTTCTGTTGCATAGGAAATGAAAATTGCAGTTACAATAAGCTGAGACAACCAGAGGCAGGAAGATAAATAATACATCAAATAAAATGGTAATCTATGTAGATAATGTACTAATAACTAATTACAAATAATTCTAATTAAGGCTCATATTCTCTCCAGCTGTATTTCTTGCAAAGTAAAGAACATGCCTTTTTAAATAAGAAATCAGTTGTTGGTAAGGAGTAGAAGTAAAGCAATTCTATTCCTCTTCTGTCCACTGCATGGAAGCCTGCGTGCAATTTTTCTGTTGGTTGGGTTTTCACAGCTTTTAGGGGGAGGCTGTAGAGGGTGGATGAAAAAGCTTTCTAACATTAGGGACATCGATGGCATCCTTCTCCCAGCTGGCTTCAGCATGAGCTTACAGCTTCACCTCAGAAACTTCCAACCTTTTAAATAACTTGTATATTACACACAAAATCTGGGGAGCCAGTACTGCGATGAGAATATACAGACTCCCAGAGAGTCTCTGCTCTGTGTCAAAAACAACATTACCCTGAGTTTATACCATCAATGTTATTTAAGCTGTTTGAAAGCCTCCCATATAGCTTATACTCTCTTTGCCGCAGTCTTCCTTGGAGTGTGTCTTAAGTTCTCCTAGTGAGTAGCTAAATCCAGGCGGCCAGCCGTCAGCCCATTCCCAATCTCCACTGTGCTCAGTGCTCCACCCCATTGAGCCAGACCCCAGCTGGTCCCACCTGGCCCTGCCCCACTCATCCCAGTTTGGCAAAGGACATGATGAGGACTGTGCCTGGGTGTCTCCCTTGGCTCCCGTGCCAGGAGAGATGGTGCCTTGACACTTTTCCCCTGTGTTTGCAGAGTGGTGAAGAGATGAGACTCTCACCACTGTCACATGTAACCTTATGCTGACTGTGGTTTAGGGCAAACAGCTTTGTCTTTCCCCGTTTTAAAATTTCTGTTAGCCAGGCTTTCACTTGTACCCTGAAGGCTTGGGAGACGCTTTGGTCTTCTGGTGTTGAATATCCCTAGTCACTGCAACAACCACTCCCTTGTGATGGACACATGCTTGCCCACAGTGATTTGCTAATTCCTTTTTTTCAGACTTTGTTAGTGTCTTTTGTTATAGGTAGGAATAAAAGCTCAGCCCAATCTACCTTTTGGTTGTTTTCTGTTCTGTGACCGTTTTTCCCATGGTATTTATATTCCACTGCTACAATGAAAGTACTGAGCAGAGGATACGTCATCCGTAAGGGAGACAGTGTTACTGTCTGTATGGAATAAGACCCTGTAATTTACTCTTTTTCAAGTGGTAAGAGTGACCAGAGACTCTCGTTGCTGGCTAGCTAAATATGAAACTAAGTAAAGTGATTTCTTTGTTGTTGTTTTTCTATAGATATTATACACCCACAGAAAAATTTTCACACAAAGAAAACCCCTTGAGTCCAGCTGTTTCCCTTAAGGCTTAGAAGGGAGGAAAGGCTGATTTAATATTCTTTCTGTTCACTGTTTTGGTGGTACCTGGCTGATGTGCTTCTGGAGCCAGTTCAATTATTTAAGTGTCTAGTGTTGTGTATTATCGCAGATGCCAAATTCTGAATAGACTCTGCCCCAAAAGAAGGAAAATGGGGAAGAAAGAGTTTGAGGAAAAGGGGGAGGGGACAGGCACGTTTGTTTCGTGTTCTCATAAGCTACAATGTCAATACCAATACTGAACTGAACTAACTGTGTACGCCTACTTGGAGTAAACCAATGAATGGTTTAGAGTGTGAACTGTGTAATGATATAAACACAGAATGCAAAGATATGTTAAAAAGAAAATGAAAACGTGTGTTTTGGGAAAATCTTCTTTTTCAAAAAAAATATTGGCTGTACAGCATGTCTTTATTTCCAGCACCAAAAGATCGGACCATTCCAACACCAGACTGGCAATTCAGATCGAAAAGGATGCAGGTATGGCATAGAGTTTGGGTGTTTCACTTGATTTGCAAAATGTGATGTATTTACATGGTCAAGGCTTTGCCTGGAAAGCTAAAGAGATGCAAAGGTTTTAAATGTTGTGTGAAAAAAACCAGTGTTTTAAGTGTAGCAGAGCACCAGTTTTAGTTGTGTGTCTTGATAAGTAAGTTCACTTTCCAGTTACATGTAGCTGATCAGGTGGCTGCTTGGCTGTGAATTGCTCGGTTAATCATAACCTTGCTGTTTGTGCGGGTTACACAGCAGACACCCTGGCTAGACTTGAAGGTCAGCTGTGGTGAGGACAAGGTTTTGGAAAAAAGCAGCAGATTAGTAGTGCCCTGACCACTGAGCAGTTTGGGCTGACAGGTGTCTCCTCTACCGTGGAGAGAAATGGTTTTGGAGAGGGAGGAAAGAGAAATTGGAAAATTTGCAGGAAGTGGTATGAGAAAGACATAGGAAAGATGGTGGGCTCCTGCTCTGGGTATCGGTTGGTTAAATGAACTCCAATCCATGGAGATGTAAAGCACCTTCCTGGGCTGCACCAAGCAGTTCCTGTGAGAGGGGGAAGCAACACATCTTTTGGCAAGTCAGTGGATGTAGAGAGCGTGTGGTACCTCAGCCGATGCTCTTCAGCACCTGGCAGGACAGAGCCCTTTCCAGGGAAAACCAATACCAGGGTTTCATGCCACATCCCGGTCCCAGTGGGAAGCCAGGATTTCATACATTGTTTTCTTCTGCTTTTATGATTTTATTTCATCACTGAGGTGTCAGGGGCTTGTATTGTGGAGATATAACTTTACATTGTCATTATTGTTGTTACATTTTTATGCCCCCACCTTTTTAACCTCATCCATTACCTCAGTTGCGTGAACAAATACACAACATCAAATAGAAGTGGGTGTAATCCAGAATGTCCAAGAAAGCAAGAGAGGTATTAGCAGTTTGAGGCATACATAGTGCTCTTTCATTATTTATCATTTCAAGGCAGGGAGTTAAAATGTTTCCCAAGGCCATTCTGTTATCTGATAGCAATAACCTTTACTGTTATTCTATATGCTAATAAGTTAATTATGCTTTAAAACCCATAGTTCAAGCAAAACATTCCCTTTATGTGTGTGCTTAAAAGATTAATTTTATGACTCATTTAGATTTTGACTGAACATGCTCCAGAAGGTGTATGGTTGAGTGTGTCTGTATGTGCATATGCAGCTGCATGTTCATGTGTACCAGAGCTGGATGCATAATGGCCATGGTGATGAAAAGCTGTGTAGTAACCTGCCCACTCCTCCTCTCGTATTGAAGAGCAATTTGTAGGAGAAGCTGTAGCCTGTCATCCTCTTGTTTTTTCTCTCCATGTTAGATCTGCTCCCAAATATGCCCATACATAAACATGCATGTGTACCTGTACGTATGTATCCACATACACTCTCATGTATACAAACAGACCTACAGGATGTTGGTTTGTACAGATATATCTATTCATGCACCAGCATTTAAAAAGTATTAAAGGTGTGACACTGGTGCAATATGGAAAATAAAGGCAGTGCTCATGGCAAGCATATGTACGATGTAGAAGAGTACAAGCACAAGACAGCACCACATTGGATTACGTGGCACTGTGTTAGCATTTATGAAACATTCATTCCCTTTCACGGATCACCATCATAACGTGCTAATTTTAATCCGGTTAAATGCTGTAGACCTTTATGGGATGAGACCTTTAGACTGTAATGAGGTGTTACTCACCTGGACAGTTGGTCCAAGTGATGTGTATGTAAGTGGACAGCTGACACATTTTAAAAGAAGTAGTAGCAATTCTAGTGGTGAGTGAACCTTGTTTCATTCTTTCTCAATGTACTAAGTATACTCTTTTAAAATATCTATCATCATATTAAGTACCCACAGATATTTCATGGACAAAGCTGTGAAAAATTCCTAGAGGACTAAAAGAAACAAATCCCAACAAAATCACTGGAAGCTACATGACCAAATTGTTTAAAAATCTCAGCAGTAATATTCAGATTTAAGTTTACGTTCTAAAATAATAATGGTTTCTGTTTTCTTATAGTTAAGAACAATTTGTAGACATTAACTTAGGACTGCAGAGACTTGCAGCGGAGCCCAGAAATTTTTGCTGTTACAAAATGCAAAGGGGGTGATTTGGTTCAGTCTGAAATATATGTTATCACTAATTTGATGTTCTATTTACAATACTATTTCATATCGTAATTAATATGAACAACAAAAGTTTCAGATCTGATTCTCTGGAGGGCTAAAAACCACCTAGGAAATGCAGTTTGTGTAGTGTATCAAGAAGTCGCTGACCCGCTAGAGGAAGAAGTTTTAGGCAAGAGTAAAAAAGAACATAGGATTTTATGCAGAATAGCTTAGTGTATTTTCAATTCTAATTTTTACAAATGTGTGCCGCTCTGATTGTAGGAAATGATGACAATAATCTCAACTCCATTTTTTATGAGCATTTGACAAGATCTCTGCAGGAGTCTCTTTGTGGAGATCTGATTCTGGGCCGCTGGGGAAACTACAACACAGGAGACTGTTTTATTCTGACATCGGATTATTTAAATGCGTTTGTGCACTTGATCGAAATTGGAAATGGCCTTGTCACCTTTCAGCTCAGAGGGCTCGAATTCCGAGGTAAGGATCCCTGCTAATTTAAATAACAACAAAACCAGCAATAAAACCTGTCTGGCTTTCTTAATCTATCACAACTCTATAGTAGGATATAGAATTTAAGAACTTTTCTCTCTTCGTGTTTTTACAGATATTTGTCTGTCTGTCTAAAGGCTCTGTACTTTGTATCATTATTTGAATGACAAATGTTTTGAAACCTAGATGTTAAGAAATTTGGAGTCACGTTGTGGAGTATCTTAAAACTTTCAGAAAGAAGGCATATTTATCACTTTCTTGGTTCACAGATCTTTTAGGTTATGCATAGTTATGTTTTCAGATTCTTTCTTTCCCTCTATAACCATGAAAACTGAAGTTGTTCTTAAAACTGTTCAACCCCCAAAACTGGTCTTCGAAGAAATGCCAAATATCGTAAGACTTCCCCCATGGAAAATATCTTGTGTGGGTTCATGCAAGATGCCAGTGCTGAGGTGGTCTCTGTCACAGCAGAACAAGAGAGGAGAAGCAAGTGGATCAGAGCTTCATATTCCTCTTATCTAGGAAGTGCAGACTTCACTTGAGAAAGGGACTTCACTTTCTTCCTGTTCAGTATGTTCCTCTGTTCGGACACCCTTCTGTAAGGAACGTCAATTGCATCCCCTTTCTCGGTGGTCTGGCTTTTGTGAGGCCAATTGTTCATAGTGTCATACTCTGTCCTTTTGTCTGTTGTCCCTAAAGTAGGAAGAAAAATGAAAGTAAAACCACTAAACTTTTAAATGGCTTTTAAATTTTGCTTATGCTACACATGTTGTCTGCTTGTGTTTGTTGCTTGGCTTTGTAACCTTTTGAAGATACCACTTTGCAATTGCAGGTGACGGGAGTTTTGAAATCCCAGAGTAAACAGCTTCCTGGGATGCTCAAGGGCTGACCATCTAGTGGGCAACATGTAGAGGAGCGTATATTCAAGGCGACTTTTCAACAAGGTTGAGTATGAGAAAATAGGAGAGAGGCTGGCTCATTGAATGCACTGAGGTGTGGGAGGATTAGACAAGGAAATAACATGCGTGGGCTCATGTCTTGACTGTGTGCCACCTCCCTGTAGGATGTTGAACAGGTTGTGGTAAAAGCTTGTTGTTCACTTTCCTTCCTGTATGGGGGGGATGAAGATAACACTTCTGTATCTTAAGAAAAGTTATGTAGAAAACAGTAAATACCTGAAACAGCTTGGTATTGTAGTACCTGAAGAGATTCCTAATCAGTACAAAGGCAAATTGTAAGAAAAAGCAACTGGAGAGGAAGATAAAGAATTTGTTTATCAGCCTTATTTCTTGTTCATGATGATGGTGATGGATGTGTGGCTCTGTGGCTTTCTTCAACTTCAAAGACATCTGTGCAAGTCTTATCTTCCCCTTGTGGGCCCTCAGGGTAAGCAGTGGTGCTGCTGTGTCAGAGATGGATACTGAGGTTAGGTACCCCATAGAGTCCACAGATGGAAGGCTTTTTTGAGGTTGAGATTTGGAATTTGCTATTACTTCTTTCAAATCCAGGCCAGACAAATGAAGATTAATGTTGTTCTGCAAGAACAGTTAAGTACTGTGGAAGTTAAAATCTCTTGGTTACAGAACTGATGGTTTCCCAGGCTGGTAAATCTCTGAGATAATTGCCTTTTTTTTTAAGACCATTTTAGTCAACGTGTCATTTTTGGTTCCTCTTAGGTTGCTCACAGTTATAATTCTTTATGGAAACTCTGTGAAGTCAAAGAATAGTTCATTCATTTCTGCAGATCTGAAAAGTGACTTCCAGGAGGGATTTATGTGTGATAAAGAGGAGACATACCTTGGACATTGTTGATATTTTGTTCAGATTTGTTGGGATTTTGAGTAAGCAGGACGATGTACATTTCCATTAACTGCATTCTAATTTCAGAAAATTATGTTTGCTGATCATCCTTTTGTGTTAAAATAGTTCACTGCAGGATTTAAATCAAACAGAAGAAAGAAATCTCACTTTCATGTTTAAATTACATGAGTTTTGTGATTTTTTTTCCCTTTATGCGGTTGCCACCTGCTGCCAGGTCCCTCTCCATCATCACCATCCCCATGCACTCAAACCACATGCTAGCTGGATAAAAGGATCAGGGGCCTAGAAGACGAGCTTAATGAATTGGAAGTTGACTGGTGAACAACTGGATAGTTTTGTTGCTGAGTGGTTTGGGAAGACTTTGTTTGACTTTGAGCCAGGATGGTTCACTGCCAGGCAGGTGCCATTGTACATTTGGATCTGAGAGCAAAGCTCAAAACCTGCAGTTTGCCACCTGTCAGGGCATCTCTGTATTCCCTAAAATCACACTTTAAGTAACTAAATGGATCTGAAAATTGCCCTTTCCATGCAGACAGCCTAATGCTGTTTGCTGTTAGTACCGTAGCTGGTTCTCTTTGTGGAGTAGATCCCACGTCTGCTGGCTGCAACAGGTCTTTAAATTCAAGCTGGGGCTGAGCCCGGCAGCCTCTCATGTGTTCCATGAGTTGCCATTTAGAGCCAGCTGAGTTCCCACCAGGAATATCCCCTTCCCCCATGTGTCTCATGCTCCTCAGGAGAAGGCTGGCAGCCTGCAAAGCAGCACCCTGACCTGAGTGTTCAAAACACCTGGACAAAGAGAGCGGAGCAAAGTGTGACCTGGGGAGGCAGGAGAGGAGTTACTGGAGGAGGAGGAGAGGAGTGGGAAAATGGGAAAATACTTCCAGGCATTGAGAGGAGATGCCCAGCTTGTCCTTTACTGAAAATGAGGAGAGGGTAATAATGAGCTCAGGCAAGGTGAAAACTTTCAGGTAGCTGCACGTTGGTGTGGGGGAATCAAGCCCTTCCCTGACTTAACTCTACCGTGTTAGACCACAGCGGTGTGCTAAAAGCAGCCTGCCAGAAGAAATATGTAATGTCTCATTTAGTTCGAAAGGAAGAGACAAGGGAAAACCCACAATCAGGGAATAAGCAGAAAGAATGTCAATGTATCTAGCTCCCATGAGTTGCCTGTAGAACCAGGAAGACTTAAAATATTTCTCTGTTTAGTCTGTGCCTCTACAAAATGTCCTTTGGAGAATATCCAGTTGGGTGTTACGTGTGCAGAAATTACTTATGGATGGTGATGCTAAAATCTTGAGGAGCTGTTTTCTAACTCATGCCCCTTCAATCACATAATTAACTTCTAAATCTCTGCTGTGACTTTTTTTTTTTACTGCATGTTGCACGTGCAATATTCATGCTTCACTTGGAGCTTCATTAGATGAATCAAAGAAAGAAGCACAGAGCAGACACAGATGTAGTTGTACGTAGTGGAAGGCAGCTGTGACAGCAGGACAGGATCACCCGTGGGGCTTCCTCTGTGTTAGCTAGCTTATTTCCCACGCAAAATGGTCTATGAACACAGCCCGTTTAGGGTATAAGCTTTAGGCACAGTAATGATGTCTAAGAAATAAGGGCAGTTATTCATTTCTGCAGTATATGTGTATGCTGTATAGTTTTATTATAGTAGCAAGTACATTACCAGTGTAAGGAATATTTACTGGTGTTTGATTTTTTGTGTCTGAAGGCTCTGTAGCACTGGCAAGAATCATTCTTTATTTAAAGAGTGGTTGCAACTTTCCCTTTCTGCTTTTACAAATCACTTCTTGCTGTTGGGAAATAAAAGTGCTCACCTTCATGTCTTTCCTGAGACTACACCTGATGTGTGTTCTGTGCATGCACCAGACCATCAAAAGGTATCGATAAATAACAAGGAGTTCAGAGAGCAGCAGCCATTGTTAACACACCTCTTTGGCGAGAAGGTTAAAAACCAAAAGAACATTGTTTGTGGGAAAGAACAAAGGCTGAGAGACACAATGCTCAGAAATATTAGAGGCACAAACAGAAAGGATGCAAAAGGGTTTCTTTAATCTTGGTGATTTAATTGGGAAGAATGGCATGAAAAGGGAAGAGGATACTTTATGTTGAATGCAGGAAATCTGTGATGCACAAGCTTTTCCTGGTGTACAGTGACGCTCCAGCAGTGGAAGCCATCTATGAATTTCAAATAGGCTTAGAATAGTTTCTGTAACACAGACTAGAATAAATATTTGATGCCTTTTTTTTCCTTTCTTCCCTTCCACAATTGTACATGTATGTACGGGTGCACTGAAGAAGACTTCTGGAAGGAAGGAAAATGTTGTTAGATGCACTGCAACCTTTGCAACCTTTTTACTGAGAAAATTACTTTTCCAGAAACAATTGTTGTGTCTTGCATTGCACTCCAGGAGAGGATTTTGTGGCATTTGGTAGCTGCAAGTTTAACAGTCAGCATCCATAATGTGTCTCTGTGGACCAAGAAAAGGAAAGGTTTCTGAGGAGGGGGGATGCCGATTATTAGAGCAACTGATCTGGTTTGAAAACCAGGCTATTTTTTGGGCATACAAGCACCTGAAGCAGCTGAAAACCAAACCACAGTTTTATAACTAACAGCTTTGATGTTTGAGGAATTGATAGTGGTTTTTAAATCCTGAGATTTTTCTTTGATATAACCTGAGACTATCAGAGCCTGTAAATTACTGTTCTTAATCCCAATTCCACACAGAAAAGAGCAGGAAGGAGCCAAAACAGTTGCTGGTTTCCAGAAAGTGTCCAGTTCTGGGGTTCATGAGTTTCCTTTTGGGAGCTCAGTTACTGCTTTTTGAATATTTGTTTTTCTGTGTTTCTAGAGCTGTATCTGATGCTTGTTTCAGGAGAGGATGGCCTTTCAATGTCTGTAATTATGGTCTTTGTGCTTCTTCTGGGTGCTATCTTGCTGCTTATTAAGCTGCTGTCCTGAGCAGAAAAGAAATGTGTCAGGTGAGAAGGAGCCTTACCCATCAGAATTTGGGAACACTCAGATTTGCAACAGAGCTCCGTGGAGCAGAGTCAGATATTTCCACTGTAATGTATTTATTTGTAAAATATTTATGGGCATGATTTGCCAAACAAATGGTGAGCAATGAGGCATTCTGTGCAGTTGACAGTGAAGAGGGGATCAGACTAGATGATCTTTCGAGGTCCCTTCCAATCTCTAACATTCTGTGATTCTGTGAAGAGACCCCTGCATGGTCTACAAAAGGAGTTACCTTGGGCTTCAGTCCGTCTTCATGGCTCACATCCAGCTCCATCTCTCAGACTTAACACCTAGTTACATCCCCAAGTCTAAAACTGGCTGTTGGGATCACAGAGTTTAAAGCCTGAAATGCCCCATGCAGGAGAGTGATTTATGATCATCTCAACGTCTGTGGGGTGGGGCTGGTGCATGGAGCCCTATGAGCCCTTTCTAGGTACATTTGCACCCTAGGTGCTTATTACACGTCAGCAGTCCTTGGAGCTCAAGCTCAAGTGTTGTTAAACTGAAGTGTTTTATGGAAATTAAAACTGCTTCTGGAGGTATGTCGTTGTGTTATAGGATTTTCTTTCTGGCCCTTCACAACTGAAAAATGCTTTTCTTTTCACTCACTGAGTTTTGAAAATTAAATTCAAAAGCACCCTTTGATTTCAGTGATAAATTCTAGAAGGCCGGGTGGTCATTAATTTAGATCTACTTTATGCATCCTCTTGAACTGAGATTACAGTCTTTAGTTTCAATTTTCTTATCTCCATTTAGGTCAGATCACACTGGCAGAGCACAAGTCAGTTCTCAAATTCTGATGTGTCAGGAAAATAGAAGGAGCTCCAAGTTGTCACCCTGGTTTTCTCCTGAGCTCACATAGATTGACCTTGCTTTGTTCAGCTGCCACATGTTTTTGCATTGATGGATTTTTGGCAACCATCCAGTGTTTTAGATATCTTACAAATGAATCGGTCTCATCTGTGCTAGCAAGGGTCGCAGAGAATGACTAATGACTAAGCTTGAGTGAAGCAGGAGGTCTTATTTTCTGCAGAAGGAGATGTGGGAAAAAAAATGTTTTCCCTCAGATTTTAAAATTACTAATTAGCAGTGAAAACATTTTCCTGTATTTTAATATTTAATGGTACTACACTTAATTACATTGCAGAACTGAAGTGCACGTTCTGCTCCCTGCTCTGTGGTTTTATGACTAATTCTCTCAGAGTCACTTGAACTTGATAATTTTTTGAGATGCAATATAAAAATTGACATTTTAATCATCAGCTTATAACATATACACAAAAGTTTAGGTCACCCTTCTGTAAAAGATGGACACAAATGCATTTACTGTGACTTGCCCCTTTTGGCTCAGCATAAAGCTGAGCACATGCTCTTAAGTCTTGGCAGTACCAGCATCTAGAGTAATGAACCAAAAAGGCTTGATGTAGGCACTGGTAAAATGAAATTTCTCTGTAACGTGCAAATCTGTGGCACTGAAGTCCAGCCAGTGCATTACAGATTAAAGTTAAGGCTCAATTAAAGATGAGAGAAAATTACTGGCAGTATTTCTAGAACTGATTGCAAGAATTGGGAGGGAACCAACATGTACTTGAGCATCAAGCCTGCATTTTTGTATGTGCAAACTTGAGTCCTTTTACTAGTTGTTGTTTGGAAATACTAATCAGTGGCATGATGATAGGGATTTGGTGTTTTGTTAGAGCACTGGCCGTGGCTCAGATTACAGTTTTAAACTTAACAGGGATAGCCCAGAGGCTCTGCAAGCAGTCAAGACACCAGATCCCCAGGTGAGAGTACCCAAGGCCATCAAACAGCTTTTGTTAAGCAAGTGCATGTTTCCCAGATGTTGAAGAGCACAGCCCTGATTTAATTCTTTGGAATAAATCTGCAAAATGACCACATAAGCTCCTTTGGTTGCTTCCCAGAGGTTTTGTATTAACACGATCCCAGTTAGAATGCCTCGGTCCCCAAGTTCAACGCTGATTGCATCCACTGTAGTATAGTTTTAACTCTCATTGATTAAAATTACCTAGCAAAGATGACTTGGAGACATTTTTACCTTTTGAATTAGCTGAGAATGCAATTAATTGTTCTGGCATCTTCTTCTCCTGTTTGTTATGCATGTGATGACAGCCTCTGTCAGACACTGAGGATCTCTTGAATTCGCCTATTATCTGCCTTGCCAGCCTCTTTAGGCCCCATATTTTATGAAATACATGGCTTAAGAAAACCAGTAATTACAGATTCTCCAGTAATAATATTTGGTATTTATAGATAGAGGTAATACAGAGAACACACAGAAACATAGCCAGCATTCCATAGGAATGAAATGTGATATTTCCATACCAAAAGAAAAAAAAAAAAGGTTTAAGAATAGAGTTACATGGACTGAGGCAAGCCATCTTTAATTCCCTTAGTTGCAGGGGGGATCAGTGGCAGTTCTTTATTAGGCTTGTGTTTTTCATCGCTTATAAATATTTGGCAATACTTAATTTAGCACCTGGGATGAAGATGTATCTCTTCTTAAATTCAGTTTAATTTTGAGAGGCCTTTTGACTTTCAAAAATAAACACAACAGCAATAGTAACAGCACCAGCATGGAGTAGTTATTTTACTCTTTTCGAGCTATGTACAAAGGAATGTGCCTTTCCCTGCTTCACTTTGAGTACGATGTCTTTTGACTAGACTACAGAAAAGCATCCACTGACCCAGAGCAGTTGCTGCTTTTTTGCTGTTGAGCAATAACCGTTAATTCATGTAGAAATCTGTGAACTATGAAGCAGAAGCAGTGTAGTTCGTGTCCAGTCCAACTGGAAATGTCAGCTTGATAGGTCATGTTTTGTACTTTGTGGCAGTCTTGAAATGAAAGCTGTTTATATTTCAGTTACTTGAAGACATTTAATAATTTGTCATATTGTATATCCCTGAAGTCCAAAGAGGAATACGTATCAGTGTGCGAACAACAGTGGGTACACAGTGTAAGTTTTCACTTACAGAAAACTGAACAGAGAACACCAAAATATACCGGATCTTTTTCCCCATTTCTCAGGGCTACAGTCACATTTTTTTTTCTCACATGTTTCCTTCAGATGTTTCTTCTTATCTGTTTTCTTGTATGCTCTTGCTTGCTGGATACATTTTAGAAAGTGTACAGGCAAAAAAGAGAAGGTGATAACCAATACTTTAACATATTTTGTTATATTTTGAAAGGCTTTTCTTGGTGTCGAAAGAGAAATATTCTGGGTGCTACTTCTATCAGTATGAACTAAAGGTCCTCAGGTGGTGATGGGACCGGGATAGTTGGTCAAGGGCACAGCCACTGTCATGACGCTCTGCAGAAAGGTCTTTGGGATGCTGCCTCGCTCCAGGCTCTCTTTCAGGGTGCTGGCAAACTGCAGGGGATTAGAGCTGACACCTTGTTCTTTCCCAGTCCAACATTCAGATGATGAACATAGCCATTCTCCCACTTCCAGTGCCACAGCAGAACAGGTCTGTTGGTCCTGGCAGGGGGGTGCATAGCTGTTGAACTGCAGCACAGTGTCTAGCACCTTCCTCTCCTGTTGAAACCGTTGGGAAGCTGACGGAGCCAGCTCGCTGAGGGGGGACG